TAGACAAGCTACCCATTGTTCTTCCTTGTCATCTGTAAAGCTGGAGTAACACCTCCTTCACTGCATCATTGTAAACGTAAGTTTGCATGAAAATGTCACTCACAGTGCCTAGTACACAGGAAGTGCTCATAAATGTTTATTCCCACACAATGTTTGGTCCAGTGCTGTGAGTGCCTAAAGTACCTATAAATATAGCAGCTGCTTGTTGTAGGAGGAGAAGTAGCCCAGACAAGCATGAAAGGGAGTGAGAGTGAGCGTGTGCCTGCTTAATGGTTTGGAGCCCAGAGTTCAGCAGCCTAAACCACAACACTGGACCCTCAGTTGCCTGAAATGTGGCCATAGTCCAGACATCTGAGATTATGCTCTGAATCCAACTCAGTGATCAAAATTAATAGGTGGGAATGTAAATTTTCAGATGAAGAAATAAGTTTCTCAGGAGCCATATTTCCAAGCTTTAGAAATAGGAGGAAAAAAAAGTTCTACTGTAAGCTATTTGTGGAACTGTGTTGTCAGATCATTGGATTGGTTAGAATTCCTTGCTACACTGGGCTTTCTCTGGGAATAGTGATGATCTCCTCGCCTTCTCTGGGAAGTATCAAATGGACCACACACTTCAGGCGGCAAAAGCAGAGCCCTGGGAATGTTCTGGGCCCCATAGTCTCTCCCTGTGGTTAAATGTGGAGTCATGAAGGCTTTGATAGTTACTAACTTTATCTCCTCACTTGCTGTTTCTGTCAACACTGTATCTTTTGTAGTACTCTTTTGCAGACTCGTTTTTTTGTTGTTTGTAGTAATGCCAGTTGAATACCATCTGGTATCCAACCCCACCCCACACCACCCTACCCCCAAACAAAAAGCACAAAAGGAAAAGCTTTAAATTATAGAAGAGTAACTTCTAAATGTCAGATGCAAAGTTTACCTGGACATATTGAAGTCTTATTTCTACCGGTGGCTCTTCATGATCTTTTTCTTCCAATGCAAACTGCTATTTGTTTCCTTTTTTTAAAAAAAGAGATCTTTGCTTAATCACTGTGTATTTCATTAGCTTCTTGAGAAATAGGGTTTACTTTTAACCAAGTCCATGTATGTATGTATGTATTTACTTTACAAGTGTTGCCGGGCGTGGTGGCGCATGCCTGTTATCCCAGCACTCAGGAGGCTGAGGAAGGAGGATCCTTGTGAGTTCAAGGCCAGCCTGGGCTACAAAGTGAGCTCAAGGCCAGCCTGAACTGCATAGCGAGACCCTGTCTCAAAAAGACAAA